GTTTTTGTTTCAGGATGGTCGTCTCTTTCCTGATTTTGACTACCATGAACCTCCTCTAATCTTTGAGTGTGGACCTGGTTGTAAGTGTTGGAGATCCTGTCGTAATCGTGTAGTTCAGAATGGCATCAGGTGCCACCTTCAGCTCTACCGCACGGCAAAAATCGGCTGGGGTGTTCGTGTCACCCAAGATGTGCCACAGGGTACCTTCATTTGCGAGTAAGTTGAGAAATTTCTAAAATATTGAAAGTTTTAGCCAGTCTAATGTATGCCGCCAAATGTGGGAATCAGTTTGTGCTTGTTACTCCGAGAAGAGAGAAATATTTTCTGCAAGTCAAGGAATCTTAACCATCAATCATAGGTTTGCTTCAATGATGTATCAATAAAGTTACATGTACCAACTGTTAGTTATCAATAATGTGAGTATTGGAACAGCTTTTATGCTTACTAGAGAGTATTTCAAAACAGACATCTTCAGGAAACTTACATCAGCGGAAACATTTCCTTATTGTCTTTATGACATAAAACATCTAAAATTGACAGTTGTGACTTCACCCTCATTTATAACAGTAAGTGATATTTAATCCTGTTCCACTATTCAAGCAACAATACTTGGAGATACAAAGAATTACCCAAGGTCATCCTCTAATGTCTTTGTGGGTCAGGTACTCTGGGGAGCTGATTTCTGATGCAGAGGCTGACAAAAGAGAGGACGATTCTTATCTCTTTGATCTTGATAATGAGGTATGATATTAACATCGGACTCTTTGAAGTTTGAAACTGTTAACCCCCTTTCCATCTGCTCATATCAATGTAAAATGAGTGAGTAAATAAAGAAATACCTTAAGTGATCAATATCAGTTTTGTCGCACCTGCTAACATGAGTAGCTCAGTTTTGAGTAAAAATCATTGCTCAATTTTTTTTCTGCAGTGAATCTTCCACACCCCCTCCCCCCCAAAAAAACTGACATGGTAATATTTCTAGAAGCGCTTTGACACTCTGTGACTGTCGCAGCAAAAGGAGGATTAAAGAAGCCAAAATTGGCCATGGCAATGTACCTTACATCATACACTACGCATCATGCATTATCTGCTGACTTACTGAGACGCCATCCACAATAGGCTCCTTGTAACGCTCCTCAAAGGCTTGTAAA